GCTGTTTGGGGAGGTGGGCTCAGACTCACAACGTTGACGTCACTGTACTGTCGATGGACACTGCGGTCTCAGTGACGTACGGCAACCTGTCATGGCAGTCAGCCTCCTGGAGCCAGCTTGTTCAGTGCTATGAGCGAGGATGGGTGTCCGCGACTCTCGCAGGCACACCCTGTGAGACCTTCAGTGAGGCGCGGTTTCAGGAACTAGTTGCAGCTCCCGATGATCCTGCAGTTGCCCGTCCCCGATGCCAACCACGACCCTTAAGATCATTCGAGCGGCTCCTTGGGTTACCGGCATTGACACAACGTGAGCTCGCTCAGCTAGGTGCAGGATCGCTGTTTTTCCTCCAGGGCCTCCTCCTTTTGTCCTTTCAAATTGTAGGGGGTGGGTGTTTTATCAGTGAGCATCCTGCACCCCCACGGGACACTACGCGGCCATCTATATGGACCTCTCCGTGGCTCCATGTTCTACGGCAGCACCCGGACCTGAGGTTGCACATCACACCGCAATGGCCGTTCGGTGCGAGCGTGCCTAAGCCCACTGGACTTTTGGCTTTGAGGCTTCCTCGGTTCATGCGCTCTCTCTATCGCCATGCTGAGCCGGGTGCAGTGAGACCCAATGCGGTCGCAATTGGTCGCAAATCCGACGGGTCGTTCAGAACGAGTGAACACAAAGAATACCCGTCGAGGTTTTGCGCAGGCCTTGCCCAGGCCGTTACTGACTTTTTGGACCACAACCTGAGCACAGGGCGAACACGTTTAGTGCCGCCACAGGGAGTGGATTTTGAGCTGCATCGCTGGATTAGTGAAGCAAGGGAGGCATGTGCAGAAATCCGCCAAGGGGCGGTGTGGCTTCCGGACTACCAGCGTTTGTAGACCATCAAGTTCAGTTTTTGTGAATTCCTAATTCGAGAATCTTTGCAAGTCGCAGCAAGGGATAGACCCTTTCAGGCAGTGAAAAAAAAAGACATTGTCATGTGTCTGGGTCCATTTTTTAACTGCCCCAAAGCTAAGATTTACCATAGACATCCCTAGAGTCAACTGACATAGAAAACCCCATGGGTTTCCCTAGGGAAATGATCTACAAATGGTGGATGTTCATGGATTTTCCACATCGATGTTCGTTTCACCATGGCCCAGCCGAGAGTCTCCGCAGTAGGCGTGGCCAGATGCCAAGCATGGGGTTTCCTAAGGGCAGAGCTGCACCCGGGGAGGATGGTGAAGGATGGCAAATTAGTTGAATACACCCCAAACGCAACCCGGGTGAAAAAACTTTGGATCGGTTCGTTTTGGGGGCCATCATTATTGGGGTGATAGTGATAGAATGTGATAGAGGGATGTGATGAAAGGATCATAAAGCAGGATAAGAAAGGTTTCCAAAAGCCTTCTTGGTCGTTGGGTTTCTAGTTTCTACACATTGGCTCACACTGATTGAAAAATCATATGCAGGAAATCCCTTTAGGATCATCTCAACCATAATCCAGTGGTATGACGTGGTGGTCTCAACACATCCAAATGCGCCTGAGCTTCATGCTGAATAAACATGTCAGCCTGCGGTTGAGACAAACAGGCTCTGACAGGTTGACAACCCCCATTCAAACACGATTTTTTGCCACGCTTTGGTAAGTTCGGATGATCAAGTGGTCGCTAATCTTGATATTCCACAGCTTGGCTCTTCGAGTCCAAGCTGTGAAGAAAAAGGAGCTGACCGACATCTCTGGGGAAAGGACATGTGAAACTGTGAAACGAAAAGTTGCAGCATTGCAAAGCATTGCGGGTACTCAACTTGCCGTTCCCCACGATCGGTCACAGGATTTCTGGAAGGCGATTGCTGAGTTGCCATCTGATTCACAACCAACTTGACCAGAATAGTCCATAATTCAACAAGAGATTTACATCCTTTGGCAGCTCGACAGGCCTCCAGCTGGGCTCAAAGAGGAAAATGAACAGCTCGGCTTGTCTGACGCTGCGATTCTGTTTCAAGAACCTCGGCAAACCGTCAGCCAGCAGTGCGATTTCGGATGCAAACCATGGCCAGAACGACCAGACTTGGATATCAATGGGGTAAAAAAAATGTTGGAACTGCCCATCGTTATGGAGCCGCGGAAGGTGCCCATAAGGTTGAACAACATAGATCGCACTTGCGTTGGTCGGAATCAATGCGGACGTTGCTATTAAACATAGGCTGGAATCATGTGGAACAGCATACAAGTACTGGGAATCGTTGCCGTCGACAACTATTTCATTATTCATCTTGAGTTGCTGGAATTTGTCAAAGCAACATATCTTTTTATATCTCTTGTGTGCGTCTAAAGCTCTTCCACCAAAAAAACAAGATGAAGCCGCAATGAAGCCCACGAACCCGAATGCTCACACGTATGTTAATGGTACAGTATCAAAACACATGGTTATGCAGTGACGCACAATACCTTTCTGCAATAGACTAATTGAACAGTCTTGTACATGTTTCCCTTGTTACCAGTCTGCAGTGTGGAGTGGAAAGTGTAGAGTGTGGAGTGTGGAGTGTGAAGTAAGGAGTGTGGAGTGTAAAGTGAGGAGTGGGGAGTGCAGAATGTGTAAAGTGTAGAATGCAGAGTGTAAAGTGTAGAGCGCGGAGTACGGAGTGTAAAGTGTAGAGTGTGGAGTGTAGAGTGTGGAGTGTGGAGTGTAGAGTGTGGAGTGAGGAGTGTAAAGTGCAAAGTGTGGAGTGTAAAGTGTAGAGTGTGGAGTATGGAGTGTAAAGTGTAGAGTGTGGAGTGTAGAGTGTGAAGTGTGGAGTGTAGAGTGTGGAGTGAGGAGTGTAAAGTGCAAAAGTGTGGAGTGTGGAGTGTGGAGTGTAAAGTGAGGAGTGTAAAGTGTGGAGTGAGAAGTGTGGAGTGTAGAGTGAGGAGTGTAAAGTGTGGAGTGAGGAGTGGAAAGTGTAGAGTGTGGTGTGTAGAGTGTGGAGTGTGGAGTGTAAAGTGTGGAGTGTAGAGTGTGGAGTGTAAAGTGTAGAGTGTGGAGTGTGGAGTGTAAAGTGTGGAGTGTAAAGTGTGGAGTGTAAAGTGTGGAGTGTAAAGTGGAAATCGTGGAGTGTAAAGTGTAAAGTGTGGAGTGTAAAGTGGAAATCGTGGAGTGTAAAGTGTAAAGTGTGGAGTGTATAGTGTAGAGTGTAAAGTGTAGAGTGTGGAGTGTGGAGTGTAAAGTGTGGAGTGTAAAGTGTAGAGTGTGGAGTGTAAAGTGTGGAGTGTAAAGTGTGGAGTGAGGAGTGTAAAGTGTGGAGTGTGGAGTGTGGAGTGTAAAGTGTGGAGTGTTGAGTGGAAAGTGTGGAGTGTGAAGTGTGGAGTGCAAAGTGTGGAGTGAGGAGTGTAAAGTGTGGAGTGAGGAGTGTAGAGTGTGGAGTGTGGAGTGTAAAGTGAGGAGTGTAAAATGTGGAGTGAGGAGTGTAAAATGTGGAGTGAGGAGTGTAAAGTGTGGAGTGTGGAGTGTGGAGTGTAAAGTGTGGAGTGTGGAGTGTTGAGTGGAAAGTGTGGGGTGAGGAGTGTAAAGTGTGGAGTGAGGAGTGAGGAGTGTAAAGTGTGGGGTGTGGGGTGAGGAGTGTAAAGTGTGGAGTGTGGAGTGTAAAGTGTGGAGTGCGGAGTGGGGAGTGTAAAGTGTGGAGTGTGGAGCGTAAAGTGTAGAGTGTGGAGTCTGGAATGGAAAGTGTAGAGTGTGGTGTGTAGAGTGTGGAGTGTGGAGTGTAAAGTGAGGAGTGTAAAGTGTGGAGTGTGGAGTGAGGAAAGAGCCACGCCTGCCACGCAAAACTACATGACAACCTGCGTGGAAACATTCGAAAAGGAGAGGTTTTGCGGCTTCCCCCATAGACACGGCGACGCCACAGGACAACCAGCGACTCCAGACGACGCACGTGGGTGCAAAAAAACGAGCATTTCGTACGAGACTTCCTCCAATTTTGATATTTTCCACACGTTATCAAACAGGTTGGAATGTCACAAAGTGCCACGCCTGCCACGCAAAACGACATGACAACCTGCGTGGAAACATTCGAAAAGGAGAGGTTTTGCGACTTCTCCCATAGACACGGCGACGCCACAGGACAACCAGCGACTCCAGACGACACACGTGGGTGCAAAAAAACGAGCATTTCGTACGAGACTTCCGGCAATTTTCACAGTTGGCAACACGACAAAAAGACAACTTTTGCAGCTTCCCCCATAGACACGGCGAGGCCACGGGAAAACCAGAGACGCGAGACGAGACACGTGGGAGCGCCAAAACGAGCATTTCGTGCGAGACTTCCTCTAATTTTCACACTTTGTAGCTTCAAAATCGACGTTTTCCTACGAGTTTTCCTTAGAACGTGAAAATTGGCAACCTCAAAATCGATGTTTCGTGCGAGGCTGCCGTCAATTTTCAACGCATCGCACAAAATGCCACGCCTGCCACGGAATTTGCACCTTGTCGCCACTTGACGCAGCCCTGCCAATGCGATTTGCAAAAAACACGCAACATGACACGTCTAAAGTGCTGCGCCTGCCACGAAAAATGACGATGGACACGTCCAAAGTGCTGCGCCTGCCACGAAAACTGCAACACATCTTCTAAAAACGTCACAAAAGTATTGGGCCTGCCACGCAAAACGATTTTCAACACGTTGCAAAACACGTCTGAATGTCACAAAGTGCCACGCCTGCCACGCGAAACGAAGCAACGACACGTCCGAAACCCCCAAAAATGACCACCTCTGCAAAACTTCCCATAGGCACGGCCATACGGACCTCGTACGAACGGTTGCGAACGGTTGCGGACGGTTGCGAACGGTTGCGACCGTGAACGCAACGTCGAGCGAACACACCCTCAACCCCCAGACCCCCAGAGTGAAACGGGAACCCTTGCTACGCATTCGGGAAAACAATCAGAATGAGAACCCAACAACCAGCATCTAACTTCAAACTACGAAAATCATCCCTTTCCAAGTGAAGCCAAAACACCTCAGCATTCCTCACCTTCAGGTGAGAACATCTAGTGACCGTGACTGTGGTAATGATGGACGTGATGGACGTGTCCTGACCAGCTGTGCCCGCTTGACGATGACCAGCTGTGTCCCGACATGGATCCACTGGATCCACCCACGAACTTGTGCGTCACCTTGGATGCCGGGGCAATAAAAAAATAACATCATACCCTCTGGTTATGTCAAAATAGCTATTGAAAATGGCCATTTATAGTGGTTTTTTCCATTAAAAATGGTGATTTTCCATAGTTATGTTAGTTTACCAGAGGGTAATTATCATATAGTAGGGCCATATAGTTCTGGTTGAACTTGATCATAGAAAAATCATGGGCTCAGCAAAAACACATATATCCATGGTAGAAAAAAAAACACGTTTTTGGTTCCCAGGAGAACATCAGCAAAAAACCGATGGAGATGCTATGGAGCAACTTCCAAGTCACCACGACGTGTTTCTGGGCGTTGGCACCATGATACTTGTAGCCGGGGCAACCGATCTGCTGGTGACTGCAGCACCAACCCTTCTTGTCTCCGGACCAGCCGGCTTCCCAGTTGGACAAGCCCTCCTGCCACCGGAAACCAGAGAGACTGCTTGGAAAAAAAAGGTGTCTTTCCCTGCTGGATTGCATTCATCCCCCCAAAAATCCCCACTTAAGACCTCAAAATTAACTGATTTTCCAATGATCTTTGTTACTTGTATGCCAGACCCCATATTCTCGTGAATTCACCTCCATTCACCAAAACTCCCACCATTTCCCACCCACCATCAACCCACGTCCCCGTTGTGCCTGGCAGTTGTAGGCATGGCCCACCGAGACGGCACCACCCGACACCGCCTCCCAGGACCAGTGGCCGCTGATCATCACCTTGTGCCAGACCTTTCCGGCGCCTGCGTCGCAGGCCGGTGGCGTGTCCGGAGACCTCGGGGCGGAGCGAATGGCCCGGTGGAGATGGGAAAAACAACGAAGCGGGGTACAGGTAGATGAAGCCATGGAAAATTTATGAACAAAGAGATGTGTATATGATTGAACATGTACATATATAAATATTAATAAGTGATTATAAGTGTGTGTATGAATATGATTGAACATGTACATATATAAATATATATATATGTAAATGATTATATAAGTGAATATACTGTGTATATTGTTTATGGATGTGTATACTGTGTACATATACGTATATGTATGGGTTGAACTACTTCAACGGCTACCTGCTTGGTACCTCGCAAAAAAAAACGGGGGTCTTTTATACGCCGATCATCCCACTCAGTGGATAAACATCCTGATCTGTACGAACCCAATTCTTGGTTATTCCATTTGCACCATTCACAATCGGATTATAACAAGTATATCCAAATATCCCATGCAAAATCCCCAGTTGTCCGTAATGTTTAAATCCCCGCAGCGACAACGTCTTCAACGCGAAAACGACCAGGCACTGGCAGCCCTTCTGCTTGTTGTTGCAGCACCAGACCTTCTTGGCCGGGGACCATGCCCGACAGAAGTTGCCCAGCGCCGCATGGCAATCGAAAGGCTCAAGGCCCTTGCCCTGCTTGCCACAGCCAGCGGCCTGGGTCAGGTCCAACGAGTCCAATGGATGGTGACATCTGACCTTTCAATGGATTGGCTTAAGGAAAAATAGGACACCATGACCAACCTACCATGTTTTGCCGTGTTTTTCTCTTCCTTTTTTGGGAATCTTGCTGGTTAGTTCCCATTTATAGCAATCCTATGCAAAACTGCAGGTTTTGCTGGGAAATGGACCTGTGAAAATGGGGCTTTGTGCCATGACCACTCGTGTCATTACACACCCAGACTAACGGCTGCAAATGATCTAATTATGCTTAAGACTGGGGACTTTCCATTGCCGTGTCTACCAGAGGGTATGCTGTTTGATGGCTTTTGGGAGGCTGGGGTTCTCACCCAGTCATAAATGGGATAGCTATACCCAATCTTACAACTTGAGGATTTTCATGAATCTTGGGTATTCTATTTCATCCCCATGAGTGTTTAAACTATTGGCTTCACCACACCAATTTAGGTCATAGTATAATCCACGCCAAGATCATTCGGGATTAACCATCCGCTAGTGCAAGTCTCATAGCCTTCGCTAGTCATGTACCATTGTGGCTTAATATGGATGATATATGTTGGTAAACGTTCATGAATTGGTATCATCCATTCTTCGCAATCATATCGTTTTTGAATATTAATTATGGATCGTACCAATATGTGATAAATAAATAAGTCTATATGTATATATATATACTTGGATAATCTAATAATACCAATATATATATATATACATATATATATATACATATATATACAGTATATATATACAATATTATATATATATATTATAGGATATACTGCTGGATCTTCCTTCAATGACCTCCCGTCAAGAAAAACAACTCCGCCTCAATGGAGCATGCGCGGCACACATCGCATTCCACCTGCACCTGCCAGGTCTGACCGGCAAAACCACAGGTGTCTTGACTGTAAGCAATGGGAGCTTGGGGCATCAAGGGGATGAATCTGGTAATATCATGTATATGTGTATATATTTATATATAGACATGTGACATATATATATATACGTATATGTATATATATATATAGAAAATTAATGGCTATAAATGGCGATACATGGCTATTGGTGGATGCTTGGTGCGGTTGGGATATGATTTCTGTGGCTGTAACCATGCGGATTATAGCCATAAGTTGGTATATGCCCCCCGAACATGATGACTGGATGGAGATTCATGCCATTGTGTGTTTCGCATTCTGAAACTCTCGCACAGAACAAAAAACTGAAACAAGTTTGTTTCCGACCCACATTTTCCAATTTTCCAATTCCAAGAGGTTTTAGCCAGTTTTAGCCCATCCCATCCCCACCACATCCCCACCTTGCTGTAGGCCAGGTTGCAGGCGTTTTCTTTCTCCGCTCCGAAGACGTGTTTCTGAGTCCACTCCATGCGCTCCGAGCACGTGCGCGCCTGGCCCTTGATGACGCACTGGGCATCGCAGCCCAGGGGCGACAGCGTGGTGTGGGGGCAGCCCAGCTGGAACGTCTTGCAGCAGAAATCCCGCTGATCGCTGGACCAGCTGGCCACGTTGCCCTAGGGATGGGGATTGGGAAGGTATGGGATGGTCAAAAAGAGGGGTCCAAGACTTTGCGGAACGAAAACTCTGGGGAAAAGCCTAGGTGGAGCATGAGCTGTTGCTGTATCTGCAAGAGCCTGAGTGACATTTGCTGTGGCCAACTCACGTCTAGAAACTAAGCAATCCCGTCAGCGGGCAATTATCATTCCAGATTGTGGCAGGAGTGGCGGATGGTCCTAGACCCAAACCACACTTGTACTGGGTCTGGCCTGGCTCAGACATTCAGGTGACTTGAAACTACAGATTGGGATCATGTTTCGAAGTTTTGCACAAGAACATTCATGTTTGATATGGGTTCGTCTGTGAAATCAATTGGTTTGAATTTTGAAACATATCTTCCCTGTTTGCCATATGTTAAGTTATGTTAAAATGGCAATCCGCCATGTCCGCCATATTTCTTGGGAACCTCGGCAGATGTCGGCAGCCCCAGTCACGTGTGCTCCGTGGCAGTGGAACTGCACACAGTACTGCGAGTGGCCCTTGTGGCAGCACCAGTCCTGGATGGCAGGTGCCGGACTCCCGGACCGCACATAACATCTTTACCCGTACTACGCCGTACACAAAATGTGTGATTATATACAGCACACACAGACAGTACACGGCAATACATTACATTCTATAGTATATAGGGTATAGTGTGTAGACAGTACATGGCAATACATTCTATGATATACATTTATATACAGTATATTTTAGTGGTCTCCGCCGGTCCTTCTTGTGGGCCGACCAACCCTGGATCCAGTTGTGGGCGCCAGCCTCGCAGTCGTAGCCTCACGCAGCATGGTGAGTGTTGAAGCGTGTTTAAACATGCTAAGCAATTTCCAAAGAAGTTCTACCATCCCGAACCATCTTAGAAGTTCTACCATCCTGAACCATCTTGAACCATCTTGAACCATCTTGAACCATCTTGAACCATCTTGAACCATCTTGAACCATCTTGAACCATCTTGAACCATCGTTACCTATCAAACCTTGCGAGACCCCATACAAAAAGCATCGTTTTGAATATAGGAAACATGTCGCCATGACAACCTTCGCAAAGCTACCAAACCGAGGTGGACGTAGGATGATTTTAGCAATGTATCACATCCTGTCGGAGTCAACCACAAAGTGCCTCTCACAGACTCTTTATCTCTGATTCGTTGATTAAACAGTAAACAAGATTATATAAACTATATCAAACTCCTGCGGATAGGTCAGTGTCTCAGTCATGATTGACCCCAAATCGGACGATTTACCACGAAAAACATGACCTTAAAAGTTGCAGCTTGTGCAGTTTGTAGCCCCACATAGCCCCACCCACAGCTTGTAGCCCCGGCGCCTCCATGTCCCACACCGTGTTGCTCCACGTGAACCTTGATGTGATGCTGCCAGTGGCCATGGAAATCGCCTGGGCAGCCCCTGGACTTGTGAGCGCAGCACCACTCCTTCTTGGCGCCGGACCATCCGTGGAACCAGTTCCTTGGAGTTCTTCGGGGCCGTTTTTTGGGGCCAGTTCCTGAGGGATTCCATTCATGTGTTGGGCGATTTCCCGCAACAAATCACCTGAGGAATTTAATCCATTCGTAGATGGCCATGATACAGGGACCTGCCCATGACATTTCGTAGAAGACTCTTCCCATCGGGAACGAAAAATCCAACCATCCAATCATCAAAACCATCCAACCATCGAAAAACGCCAAGGTTCTTGAAGCCCGCGTGGCAGTCATAGGTCTGCACCACATGGACCACCTTCTCCCAATGGCCGCAGCCCACGTCCTGATGGTCGCAGCACCAGCTCTTCTTGGAGTGCGACCAAAGGTGACCCCAATCCTGCCGGCCATGGGATATATGGGATATATGGCATATATATGGTGTATATATATATATATACATACATATATATATATACATTGTGTGTGTGTATATGTATGTATATATATATATACATTGTGTGTATGTGTATATATATATATACATTGTGTGTATATGTATATATATATATACATTGTGTGTGTGTATGTATATATATACATTGTGTATATGTATATATATATGGTGTATATGTATATATGTGTATATATATATATTGTATATATATATATGGGATATTAGACTTGGGATGTTTCTGTGGTATGGCTATCCTTATCTCTCCGTAATATCCGTAATATCCGATTTTTCTGTCCAAGGCACAGCCCGTAACTTGGGAACACACTGTGTTTTCGAACTTGAAACCTGAACATGTCATTTCCAATACAAGAAAAACATGCCCTAATCGAAATAGATGGTTTACCCTCTGGTAAACTAACATAACTATGGAAAATCACCAGTTTTAATGGGAAAAACCACTATAAATGGCCATTTTCAAATATTCTTTTTCTAGGCTTCCCTTTGAGTTTTCAGGGTACTTCTGAATGCACCCCATCCACATTTCAGTTGAGTACATCACCACATGGACTGAATCAGCTCCATTGCCTTGCTTCTGCTTCTTGGATTGCTCATTTGGGGCCCGGAAAACAATGTGTATATATATATATAGATAGATACCATTTCTCCAGTATAAAATAGATGAATATAAACATGTAATCACATATATATATATATAATTATAATTATAATTAATAATAATAATTATTATTATTATATATATATATTATTATTACTATTATTATTATTATCATTATTATTCTTATTATACTTATTATTCTTATAATTATATAATATAACACACATACATATATATATATATATATTGGTTACATGCCCCATCTCTTGTGGATTTCCGAAATGGGCATTCGGTCTTCCATCAGCAACCCACAACTCAGTGGGTTATGATCCTCCAGGCCGTTGTGGCAGTCGTAGGTCTGATCGATCACAGTGTTCCACTTGGTGTGATACTGGGTCACCACATGTGGTGGCGAAGGCACGGGCACCTTCACCTGAAAACACGCTGCGATCAAAATCGGAGGGATCTTTTCAAACAGACACCTTTGGAAGTACCATCTGGTTTTTTAACATAGCCATGGAAAATCACCATTTCTAATAGGTAAACCATCTATAAATGGGCCATTTCCCATGGCTATGTGAAATAACCAGAGGGTACAAGTACAGTAAATTCCCCTCTTCATAGCATGAAGTAAAACCAATTGAACCTATCCTACTAAGGGTTTACGCAACTTTATTTTTTTTTGCAAACATGGACACCTTGGCGAATTTTGGATAAAGTGCAATGGAGGACTGCCCATTTAACATCCCGAAACTGCGACATGCAAAGATCATGCCAGCACTTTAGTGGTCGGTGATGGTATTGTTTCACCGCTGGACTTGTTTCGAACTCATGTGAGTGTCACACACTTAGACACCAGCCCAAAACGAAGCGTTGACAGCCACAGGTACAATAACATCAGCAACAACTGCTGCAACTGCACAAGAATCACGGTGTGTCAAAGGAGTTTGGGGTGTTGACTGGTATACGAAATATCATGTAAACCATCATTGGCCAGCATTTACCATTGGTCATTTGATCCATTTAGAGGCGAGGTTACGAATGGTTGGTATCCATTGCTATCCACTGGTCCATCATTTTTTCCCATCCCCCCAAACTTAAACACCCCCCATGGTCCCAAAGATGTGGCTTCATCCCCTACATCCACCATGGTTTCTAGGGGGTGTATCTAATGTACAAAAAGGGGGACAGGGGATTAGCAGTGCTATCCCACCTGTTCATGGTCAATCTTTGGTAGCCCACAGAATCTTAATCTTTTGTTGGTTGGCTGGTTATGTTTCATAAAAAGAGCAGAACAAAACAACAGGACTACGTATATAAATTATATAAGTATATATAAACGATCTTACTGGGAATAATATACGTAATATATAAACGATGTGTTGTGGTACATTGGTGGTACCTCTCTTTTCCCAGATGGGACTCGAGACCAGGGCACGAAGTGGTCAGGGCCCTTCACGTGCACCGGGTAGGGTTTCTTCACATCGATCACCTTTCGTGGAGGGGGGCACGCCGATAAGGCAAAGTTTGGGGTCATTTAACAAGCAAAAATGGCAAGTGATTTATGAATATTTATGAAACATTTATGATAGGTTTCTGATTTATAATTTTTAAACTCTGGTCTATAATTCTAACCAAATTAGATGGTTAAGCATTTATGATTCATGGTCTATATTTCTAAATTATAAGTGATGGTTTCTGGTCTCGAAAATCTGTTGGACTTGTAGTGGAGACCATTCCACAGAATGGGTGAATTTCACCCAAGAATCAGCAGAAAGTCCATAATTACTGGGAATCAAATTTGAAGGATTAGCATGGATTAGCCATTTCGGAAGCTCGAAGAAGACTGAAAGGGACCAATCCTAGTTGCACTTTGCCATGTTCGCTGAAACCTCGACTCACCTTCCAAGCATCTTCAAACAGTTGAATTGCCCATCCAGGGCATTTGCAACCAATGTGAACACTGCTCAGAACAGGAAAGGTCCACATTTGTTGGACATCTTTCTTATCATTGACCAATGTCAAATATCCACAATTCCACAAGTCCGCCCCATGTTCCCATCAGAATCAGGGCCCAAAAAATTGTGCGTTCATTTTCCCATAGTTTCCCCCTATACGCTCTGGTAAACTAAAATAAGTATGGAAAATCACCATTTTACAGTGGGTAAATCAACTATAATTGGGCCATTTTCAATAGCAAACTGTCAGTCATAACCAGAGGGTAAATCCCATTAGATCCCATTAAACCACCATAAATCCCATTAAATCCCATTAGATCCCATTAAACTCCATCAACCCAAATTACCAGAGGGTAACAACCCTCATCATTCTTGGTTGAGGCACCTTAGGCGGCTCATGGAATGGCACCGGCACGCGATCATGGACCACCACCGGCTTCACCACAGTGGGGCCCGGCACGTGCACGTGCACCTTGGGAAGCTTAGTGGACTGGGAAATCCAAGAAATCATGGGAAAATCATGGGAAAATCATGGGAATGGGAGCTTTTAAATGGGAAAATGGATGAACATGGTATGATGGTTTGGTGATTATTTTCCCATTTAAAGCATCAAACCATCATAGAAGTTAAATTACATATCATTAAAGCTTTAAATGGGAAAATCCTCAAAGTAAATGGGTAATTCCCAGAAGGCCAAAGGGTAATGCTTCCCCCATGGAACCTCCATGGTTTCCGCTGAAATCTATCAGCTGGAAGTGAAAAAACAGCGCTGGAGCGGCAAAAATCAAGCCACTAACCGGATGGGCCACTGGATTTGCTGACTGGTGAGTTTCAGGAGGGTTGGGGCCACTTGATACTGATATAATCTGATACATACATATATATATAATTATGTATGTATACATGTATATACACATGGGTCATAATGGGTCATTCTTGTATCAAATTATACCATACTATTTTCAAATTCACCACCATTTTACCTCAATATCTTTCTAAGCACAGCAACCGTCATCAATCCATATCAACCTCCAGCCTTCATGAACCTCAACCATGGCCAATCTGATATGCAACAAAGCGACTTTTTGGCGGGATAGAAATGAGCGACACCCAATCAAGGGGCCATATCGGGGTTATGACTCACTCAACCTGTCCAGCCCTCGCCATCCAAACTCTGCCCTGTTCACATCAAACTAGCCATGGATCTCCATCACCCTTGGTACCTTTGGTACCTCATGGCATGACTGAACCCATCCCCATCCCCCCTCCATCCATCCGGGCGGCGTAGTTCGGTGGACTTGGCACGTGATAGGTGCGGTGGATGGTGCGCACGATGGGCGCATGCGTAGGCATTGGCTCGGGCACCGGCACACGAACCCGTGCCACCTTCGTCACGGTGTGGTAGTAGTCCTGGCAGGGCCACAGAAAAGCTGAGATCAACCAAAAAACAACCCCTCAACTCGGTTGAACAGTTGGAAAAACTGGAAGATATTTGAAATTATAAGGATAATAAGCAGGTTATCTAAGTATAAGGATGGATTAATAAGCTGTTGAGACTATGTACAGTATACCACCAAAATGGATGGTTTGAAACAAAAACCTATGGCTGGGCTCCCATCCAATAGGGTTATTTGGGGATATTTACCATGTGGGGGGAAGGAAGTATCAACAAACACATTGGGACTTAACATTACTTTCCATCTAAAATGGGAAATTAATGAAGAAGAAATTGTGTTTTATCAAGCATCCATGGATTCGATATATAGGAATATACTGAACATTGAAAGGGTTTCTACAAGCAAATCCAAAAGTTTGCCCTATAGACCCAGAGTTTAACGTTTTTTTTACACCTAAATATGGGATTTCCTATAAATTGTTCCTTCGACCAATTCTGGGAAAGAACTTAGGACTGTAAAAATGATTGAAGAAACAAGAAGGTAAGGGCGTATGACTTGGAACCACTTGTTGATGTTTTAAAAAATGACCACAAAAAACACATGGGAGTTGGAGTTGAAAGCGTTTGTTTGAAATTGGCATATGTTTGGCATCTTTATCCCTTTGGAATTGTGAGGGATCTCCAGCAACACAAAACCTATGGGTCTAGGCCTGTCCAACCATTGTATATGCCCCCAAATTGGCAATTTCACGATATGTATATACATATATATATAATATATAATATATAATATGTATATCTATCTATAACTATACATATATATATAACTATATATACCTATGCATAAGCGTGTTGTTGATCCATTGGAATTGGGGTAGCGAAATCTTTGACAGCCTTGACCGTCCCGTCCGAAACGTGGTATGGACCCCCCTCTCCTTGTCCACGACTGTGTGTGGGCACCACTCTTTGTATTTGTAGCAGCACCAGCGCACGTGCCGGTTGGACTAATCTGGAGCAATCTGTGCTTTGTGGGTGTTTTGGGGAACTGAATACAAGCTGGGCCCAAAGTTCAGGGAAGTCTAGGCAACATATCACAAGCAGTTCAATCATGTTCAATCTATGACGAACCATTCAGTCTCCGCAATGATATGGTGGATCATAGTGCCTATCATGGGGAATGGAGTTTCCAGACTTCGGTTCCTGAATCTTCCAACCTTCTGGATCATTCTTATGAAAACAATCCACATTTCACATCGGACCCCACCTGGATCTGGCTGGCTACCAATGTCGCTGGCACAGTGGTAGGTCCTCGGGGGCGTCATCATGTGCACTGTGTGGATCAACGGTGGCTGCGGAGGCATCTGGACCTACCGGCGGCGGAAACGGTGCGGGGAGTAGTGATTTGTTATTTGAGAGACTAGGAAAACTTCAAGATGTGGTGATTTGATTTTTTTTTGTGTGTTGTGTTTCTATGATGGACACCTATTTTTTTCAAATAGTGAGACGCTTCAGGCTCAAAAACCACAGGAACCCTAGAGGACATAGGTCAAATACAGCAGTCGAATAGAAACAAACATCCTGCAACCAACTTCCATGAAAAAAAACAGCTAAAATGGCAAACATGTTGTAACACTAGCTTGTTCAGAACATTCCACTTGACCATCAACTTTCACCCCGTTCCCCATATCTATATGAACATCACATCCGATCTCAACCAGCTTCGCATATCGCATGGAATTGCATCGCATCGCATCACATCGCATACATTACATAAATTACATAAATTACATACATTTCATACATTACATACATTACATACATTACATACATTACATACATTACATACTTTACATACATTACATACATTACATACATTACATGCATTACATGCATTACATCCATTACATACATTACATCCATTACATACATTACATACATTACATACATTACATGCATTACATGCATTACATCCATTACATACATTACATACATTACATACATTACATACATTACATACATTACATGCATTACATGCATTACATGCATTACATGCATTACATACATTACATACATTACATACATTACATACATTACATACATTACATACATTACATACATTACATACTTTACATACATTACATACATTACATACATTACATACATTACAGATATTACAGATATTTTAATTACATACATTACATACAGTACATACATTACATGCATTACTTGCATTACATTCATTACATACATTACATGCATTGCATACATTGAATACATTACATGCATTGCATACATTGCATATATTGCAGACATTGCGAACATGACATGGCATGGCATGGCATGACATGACATGACATTACATACATGACTTTATATACAGGACATTATATTACATTACATTAATTACATTACATTACATTACGTTACGTTACGTTACATTACATTACATTACTATTACATTTCGCACTACCTAACTGCATTATATTTGCACTAAGAACATTCATAATCACATCACATCACATCACATCACATGTCATGCCATTAATACAAACATACGTATCTCACATCACATGACTTTCATCACATTCCATTTCATTACATAACTTTGCATTACGTGACATTACTTTTCATTGCATATCATCACACTAGATCACGTTAGATTACATTGCATACATAGATATAGGCATACAAAAGCACATACACAGTACATATGCACACGCACATACACGCATATCCATACCCATACACATACAGATATAGATATAGATAGAGATAGATATAGAGATAGAGATATATCGATATCGATATCGATATATATTTTGATATAGATATAGATATTATATGTACACATAGATATAGACATAGATATAGATGTAGATAGAAATTTACATTGATATACATCAATGTGTATGAATCTATACATATCTATACACATGAATGTATCTGACAGCCCAAAAGCATTGGGGACTCAAGCTTCAGGCTTCTCCTAGTTTTCCAGCATCTTCGGCCTTCACATAATGGTTCTCCGGAATGGCATGATACACCGTGTTGTAGTGGCGTCGCACCACGTCATGCACCTCCGCTGGTTGAGGAGCGCTGCACTGGAATCCCAGAGCAGGGATTCGTTCGGGGCACTCTGCACAGCAGAAACCTCGCAGTCGGGAGCAAACGTGAATCGAAAATGCACAGCAAACATGGAGATGTAATAGAGCCAAAGGTTTAACGAACAAACACTACCGGTATGTGCATGAGATGAGAAACTTCCGAGTTACGGACAAGTGTCAACGGGGCAACTTCAGCCCAGTAAGTCAACCACTCAGTAAGCCAGCTAGGAATCTCAATCATGCCGACCGGTAACTTCAGCAACCACTCAGCAAGTCTATAGCAATGAAAAAAACACGAAAGTACCACTAATTAGTTCGCTACTTCAACTCAATCGCTGTATAGCAGAGGGATGCATTGGAGTAGCGTGACAGCATCTTTAAGTGTGCAAAACACGTTCTGTCATTGTAGGTTCTGCGCCGGATGACTCAGTGCTACAGAAAATGCTGATTTTTGTTGGTGGCCCTCGAGGTGGCGTAGCAAGTTTTGTACAGACGCGGCTCAGAGAAGACTTGGATAAGAGAAGAGTTTCCTCAGTTACCAAGCAACAATTCTATGGCCAATCTTAGATACATTTCCTGCACACTTGACCTTGCAGCTGGTTAAAGTTCCTTTTCTTACCATCCACTACCAACCCAAGATTAACCGGCGTTGGTGGAGCTTCAGAGTTAAACTGCCAGAAGACCGCATGTCAAGCCTAAAAGCTGCAACATGAAGTTGTCCGATGTTTTTGGTTACAGCCATTTGGGGACCTCCAACGTTCTTCATTTTTTTGCAGACGGATCTTGTACCGCCCCAATGACGCTGTTACGTCACAAGATCTTCTCACAGAAGAGCACACTGGTGGTTAATGATTCTGGGGCAGGGTCGGGGAGGGATGGGGTCGGGCAGTCACGTTCATATCATTCATGTACATCTGCCGCCCCAAAACCTTTCGGGACTTGAGGATCATTTTTTGATCAAAATCTTTGGCCCCAACAAGCCGATGTTCCATGTTGTTCAATGGATATGCATGCGATGCCAGATAATGACCAGATTTTATGGGCCATCCCACTTCGCAAACTATTGACATGACCGGAGGGTAATTGATGTTTGTGAAAGCCGCACTTTGGGGCCCTGGGGAAGTCCTTCTTGTGGGCCATACCTGGAGTTCTTTTGGATTTAATCCCACTGGGATCCGACGTCGCTGGTTCCAGTCAATGTGTTTCATGTGAAATGCCCATTGAGTGTTGCTGGTCTGTTGGTTATGGTATCATGGCAAAAATTTAGAGGTTGTGAGTCAAAACGTAGTGACTGCATGTGACTATACTATATACTCTGAATACCTAGGCAGTGTCTTGAGAACCGACAACTCGCTTCATGTTCCAAAATTGGATGTTCAACATAACCCTGTACTCTGCTTTATTCATCTTGCCAGAAATACTATATAAGCTGATATGATGTGTATATATATATGTATATCTATATGTATGTGTGTATTGTGTATAGCAGAAATATAAGCCAAGAAAAATCAAAATGGTTTCCCCAGTGTAAACAAAAAAACCATGGGCGCGATTCTATGACGCAACATATGCAGTGGTCAATTGGACTACAGTAATTCTTGGGGCCTGATTTTCCTTCGCACTGGGATCGACCTGGCCTCACATCAGTTCCACCTCTTCCGTCTCCTCCTCATCATTCCATATCGTTTGTGGCTACTATCCTTCATTCTTTTTAGTCCGTACCACCACCATTTTAATATTATATATATATACATCACACATATCCATATGTGTACATGTATATGTATATATATACTATTTATGTATATATATATACATATGACATATGTACATATATGTATATGTACATATATGTATATGTACATATATGTATATGTACATATATGTATATGTACATATATGTATATGTACATATATGTATATGTACATAGTTACAAAAACACACATATATGTGTATATAAATATCTAGTTATGTATGTATATATAGTTATGTATATTATATATATATATAAGTATATATCTATCATACATATACCATGTAATCACTTTTAACATCTTATAACATCTCCCTAGCCTATATATCCCAATCATGTATAATCATGTAAGATATGTAAGTGCAGCTCATCTTCCAGTCTTTTCTGAATTGGATCCGGCGCCCAGCAACTCTGTTCAAACTCACGAAAGTTGACCAATGAGCACCTATCTTCGCATGCATCGTACTGCCCTGGGTCCCCGCAAATCTCTCCCGTGAAGAAACTGCGCACCTCGTGTGGCTGGTGGAACAGTCACGTGAAAACCCGCAGTGAACCCAGGGGTCATAAATTCCCAGAAGTGAAACGGACATGTTCAACGAAAAATTCGTGAGGAAACCCTAGATTAAAACGGGTTTTTGTCTTGAAATCGGCCCACTGACCCCCTAAACTGGGGATACGCTGCAAACACGAATCAGCATCAAACTTGGGATTCCAAGCATCATGGATCAAAAACATTTCAATCACCTGAAACACCACGGTTCACAATCTAAGAATGGGCAAACCAAACTATATTCTGATGTTCACCAAATGTTGTCTTTGTTTGGTATAATTTATTATTCATTATAGCTCATCCTTCTCTCAGTGGATTGGTTTCGTAAATTTTGCAGAAAACTGCAAACTGTATCACCATATGTGGGGTCAAATATGGTCAAATATGGTCAAATATGGTCAAATATGGTCAAATACATGGGTCATTAAATGTCCCCATTGAACATCACCCAACCATTGGGTATATGGTCTATAATGGCTACTATAAGGTGATGTCCAATATTCCCAAAATGGGACAGTTACCAACCCCTGAAATATGGTCCAATTTCTGACAAATTTTGACGAACTCCCCCTGTTTCGGGCCTCGCAAAACAAGAAGAGCAGTGGCAGCAGAATCAGCAGCAGTCCGAAGCAGCAACAGCTGCAAATCACAGGCCAGCGTGGCCTCAAAAATCGGCTCCAGAAATGGGGATTTACCCACAAAACCGACCCTTTGAATAGCTGGGTATGAAATCTTCCATGGCCGGCTACAGAAGAATCAACTATACTCAACTACCGACCAAGGTTTACAGAGAATTAATGACTATGTCAACGAGGAAAATAATGAGTAACCGAGTGAAGACTGGATCAACAATGCTGTGAATCAACAATACCCGGGCAAGCACCACACCTTGGGGATACATCACCAATCTTGTCACCAACAAAATGAGGACCCAAAAAAGTCAGTCGTTTCAGAAACGTCTACAGGTTTTACCCTAGTAACTGATGAGAAACGCCCGGTAGTTGACAGGACCGACCCAAGACCATGTCACAAAAAGAACGGAAAGAGGAAAACACCATCTTCGAACATAGTGCTGAATAACTTTTCTTATCGTTCATTTAAGTTCAAAAAAACATGTTCAAGTTGAGTGATGCTCCCGACGCACCAGTTTTTCCCCAACAGCGTAAGCTAATGGGCTCTTCAGTCCAGAATAGTTCCGGTGTACATTGGTGCAGGCGCCGGGTCAGGTTCAACGAGGTTCCGGAGAATGTTCCGAAGGTTCCGGTGAAGGTCTGGGAGAAGGTTCCAGAGAACGTCTGGGAGGCTTTGGTGCAAGCCACATTGGGAGGCCTTGGTTCAAAGCCAAGTCAGGTTCAACAGGGTTGCGGAGAAGGTTCTGGAGAAGGTTCCGGAGAAGGTTCCGGAGAATGTTGGGGAAGCTTTGTTGCAGAGCGACGTCAGGTTCAACAGGGTTCCGGACAAGGTTCTGGTGAAGGTCTGAGTGCAGAGTCTGGGTGCAGAGCCAGGTCAGGTTCAACAGGGTTCCGGAGAAGGTTCCATAGAAAGTTGGGAGGCTTTGGTGCAGAGCCAGGTCAGGTTCAACAGGCTAAGAGCTCACTGTGTGACAACCTAAGGACTGACCATATGACAAGCTAGGGATTCACTGTGTGACAATCTAAGGGCTCACTGTGTGACAGGCTAGGAGCCTACTGCCGGGCAACTTGATTGCTCACTCTGTGACAAAGGAAGGACAAAAACCTTACAGTCACTGTGTGACAGTCCCTAGAGCCACTTTGTGACAACCTGAAGACTGACTGTGCGACAAGAGAAGTACAGACTGCTGAGCAAACTGGCAGGCAGACTGGCCGGCCGCGACTGCCTGTCACTGTGTGACAATGCATAACAAGCAAAGGGCTCACTGTGTGACGACCTAAGGACTGACTATATGACAAGCTAGGGGCTCAGGGTTCCGGGGAAGGTTCCGGAGAAGGTTGGGAGGCTTTGGTGCAGAGCCACGTCAGGTTCAACAGGGTTCCGAAGAAGATTCCGGGGAAGGTTCCGGGAGGCTTTGCCGGAGAAGGTTCTGGAGAAGGTCTGGGAGGCTTTGGGGTCAAGTTCAACAGGGTTGCCAAGAAGGTTCCACAGAAGGTTTCGGGAGGCTTTGGTGCACAGGTTCAACAGGGTTCCGAAGTAAAAGTTTGGGAGGCTTTGGTGCAGAGCCAGGTCAGGTGCAACAGGGTTCCGGAGAAGGTTCCGGAGAACTGTTGAACCTGACCTGGCTCAGCACCAAAGCCTCCCGGAACCTTCTCCGGAACCTTCTCCGGAACCTTCTCCGGAACCCATTGAACCTGACCTGGCTCTGCACCAAATCCTCCCACACGTTCTCCGGAACCTTCTCTAAAGAACCCGTTGAACCTGACTTGGCTTTGCACCAAGCCTTCCTGGAACCTTCTCCGGAACCTTGCCCCGAACCCTGTTGAACCCTGTTGAACCTGACTTGGCTGCACCAAAGCCTCCCGAGACCTTCTGCGGAACCTTCTCCGGAACCTTCTCCAGAACCCGTTGAACCTGACTTGGCTTTGCACCAAGGCCGGAACCTTCTCCGGAACCTTCTCGCAACCCTGTTGAACCTGATGTGATGGGGCTCTCCACCAAGGCCTCCCAGACGTTCTCCGGAACCGGGTTTTGGAGAAGGTTCCGGAGAAGGTCTGGGAGGCTTTGGTGCAGAGCCAGGTCAGATTCAACAGGGTTCCGGAGAAGGTTCCGGATAAGGTTCCAGGAAGCCTTGGTGCAAAGCCAAGTCAGGTTCTCAACGGGTTCTGGAGAAGGTTGCAGAGAAGGCCCCGGGGAAGGTTTTGGGAATCTTTGGTGCAGGGTCGGGTCAGGTTCAACAGGTTCAACAAGGTTTCCAGCGCTTGGCTTTGCAGCATGCTTCAGAAAGATTTTTAAAAATGAAACGTTGCAGCTGTTGGGGATACCACCGAAGCTATTTTGTTTATCGAAGATGATTGCAGCAGAGAAAAGCAGTGTACCCTCTGGTAATCCAAATTGGTAGGCGAGTCACTTGCGCACACAAAATTGGAAGAAGAGGGTAGGATCTACCAGCCCCGCCCGTTGCTTAACTTGATTATAGGGACACAACCGCTACTCCACTTCCTTCGACTTACCATCACACTTCAACCTTGTGGGGTGGGGTGGGTCTAGGGAAGAAAAGGGTCCTGTTGCTTAACTTCATTATAGGGACACAACCGCTACACCACTTCCTTCGACTTACCATCACCACCACCACCACCATCATCACCATCATCATCATCATCATGATCATCATCATGATCATCATCATCATCATCACCATCATCACCATCATCATCATCATCATCACCATCATCATCATCATCACCATCATCATCATCATCATCCATCATCATCATCTATCATCCATCATCATCATCCATCATCCATCATCCATCATCATCCATCATCCTCCTCCTCATCATCATCATCATCATCATGCATCATCATCCATCATCCATCATCCATCATCATCATCATCATCCATCATCCATCATTCATCATCCATCATCCATCATCCATCATCCTCCTCCTCATCATCATCATCATGCATCATCATCATCATCCATCATCATCATCATCATCCATCATCCATCATCATCATCATCATCATCCATCATCCATCATCATCATCACCATCATCATCATCCATCATCATCATCATCATCATCATCATCCATCATCCATCATCCATCATCCGTCACCCATCATCCATCATCCATCATCATCATCGTCATCATCATCATCATCATCCATCATCATCCATCACCATCATCACCATCATCATCCTCATCATCGTCATCCTCATCCTCATCCTCCTCCTCCTCATCATCATCATCATCACCATCACCATCACCGTCGACACCATCATAAGCATCAGCATTCGCGTTCACAACTGAGTTGTTTTCTCGTGTGTACAGCCGAGTCGGGTTTCGTGTGTACAACCGAGGCACCATCCATCTGATTTTGTTATGGAAAATGGTCCATTCATAGCTCTACCTATCAAACATGATACAAGCAGAGAAGTTCCATATCTAGGTGAAATTCCCAGTGGGGATTGGGTCCACCAAAACCATATCCTATATCCTGTTTCCAGAAACACCGGAACCCTGACCTTTCAGTGGGGATATTCCATTCATCTTATTCTATCTTCTTATCTGAATCATACAAAATACATTAATTAACCCAATCTATGACCCACTTTACGAGAAACCTCGGGTCCCCCGTTGTGAAGAACTCAAGCGGCCCTCCCGGCCACCTGTAGCTGTAGTTGGGGGTCTCCACGGCCTTGTAGCTGCCTTGCCCAACGCCGACCGTCACCATCTTGGTCTCGAGGTCGCCACGGCCAGCGCCCGCATAGGTGATGGACTGTGTAGAACCATCCTGTGCTGATGAACTGGCAGTGTGTCAAAACCTTAAGTACCCCTGTAGTTCACATCAAAATAACTGGTAAATGGATGTTCATCCCCCTAAAAATGGTATTAATAGGTATTGATCCATACTGAGTTGGGGGAACTTCAAGACTTAGGGACCCTCCACATTCGCCTATTGGGAGAAAACAATGGCGCCATTGCATCTTGCACTTTGTGGCTAAAAATATAGGGTGAACCTTCAAAAATAGTTATTTCCCAGTGGAACATCATCCAAAGCTATCTGTGAGGTTTCCATGCTAGCTTTCATGGATTGACGCTCAGGATGGACTAGGCACCTCTTCTATGCGAAGCTGCCCCAATCCCAACTACAGTAGTAGAATAATTACGTATGTGTATGTATGTATATATATATATACGTAATTATATATATGTATATATATATATAATGTATATGTGGATATGTATATATGTATATATATAATGTATATGTGGATATGTATATATATGTATATATATATATATGTATATGTATAGATCAAAAGAGCACCGCAAGAATCCCAGTTCGCCAGTTGCTACCGCGATTTCCGCCATCTTCGCTTCCAATAGTAAGACTTGGTGTTCGGGATCCTATTGGAGGTCTTCGACGCCGTAGAAGTCTTGGTTGCTTAAAACACCTTCGTTGTCTATATCTATGTATATGTGCATGTATTTGTTTGTACATCCATGGATTCGTAGGTATAATATATGTTAATGTACTGTAGCACATACTTGTACATTCGATAGATAAATTGTAGATTGCACCTTATACCGTATACATTATACATTATAGCTAGCTAGCTAGCTAGATAGATAGATAGATAGGTAGATAGATAGATAGATAGATAGATAGTAAATAGACAGATCTGGGTTGCTGAGTTTCCTGGGAAAAAAAAGGCAACTCTTTTTTTGTTTTGCAGGCCCCTGGGCGCGCAAAGCTGCTTTGTTTTGTGCTCCAGCAACAACACTGTCTTGATCCGGGGTTAATCTCAGCTGATCTCAAGAACCTGGCATGGCAAGTGGTGGATCTGACAACTGAACCTATGACTTCTGGATTGTACATCATTGACATCTGACAAACATGCACTCAAACCCCAATGATGCTTGCAGCGTTGCAGAGCTCAAATCATTTTTACACCTCAAATTGAGCAGTCACATCTGCTGCCGTCCATCGATCAGCTGTCGGCCGCCGATCTGCTTTGACCCATCTAGTGATCCTGAGGCCATGCTGAATGGCAAACCAGTCCTATTTTTTCTGAACTGAAATTTGATTGCAAGAGATCTGCTCAGGAAGCCGCACATCAATCTTTCTTGGTCTTTTGGCGCTTCGCAGGAATCTGCGGAAGATTTGTATTTCTGTGTTATCAAAGGATGCAGCAAATCAGTAGGAACAAAAAAAGCAGCATTCAGTCACCACCAGGCTGCAGGCCTCCTTTCCGCAGTGGGGGCACTTCTGTGCAGGCTTTGGTGCTTGCCGTTTGCGATGTTGCTTTCGGAAGATATTGGCAGCGATCTTCAACTTCGAGGCAGTCTCCACAAATTGGTGACTTGTTTCATTTGGCAACTGTCCGCAACGGAAACCGGGCTCATTTTTCAAAGCATACCCCATTGCATCCATTTTCACTTTGACTTCATTTGGCATCTGCATGTTCTCTGTGAGCACCAAACATTCGGCAAGGACCCAAACTAGCGGCTTGGCTTCTTTGCAAAAAGTCATCGGGTGACGAGGATCAACTTCGAGAACCTGGCCAATTAAATTACAAATCCAAGGGCCCCACCAAGTCCAAAAAAAAATATGGTTTTCAGCGTGATTTTTATGACTTGGTGGGGTCCATTTGGCAGGGTCTATTTGGCAGGGTCTATTTGGTGAGGTCTATTTGGTGAGGTCTATTTGGTGGGGTATATATGGCGGAAGCTATTTAAGCAACGGGTTTAAGGAGTTGACCGACTCGGGATATTTTTGTGTAGGTTCCAGCAGTTCAAAGCAGACTGGACAAAAGCTTAAACTCACCTACATGGCCTCAGCATGCACACAAGCTGATGTGCAACAACTTTGCCCTTGGAGCAGGCGACCTTCAAATAGCAACTCGGCCGCTGGATGCCATCGCTGCTGAGATCCTTTGCAATCCACAACTTGCCTCGCCCCAAACGAAAAATCATCCGACCGATCGATGAGGACAAGGCACAACAAATGGATTTGGATGGCCTATGTCTAAATCCGGGCCGGTGAAATCAGAAGGCTTCACGGCGCTGAACCACCACATTGGACATGTGGAAGTCTTGTTGCCTCTGCAGCTACACATGCCAGTTGAAATGATGATAGCTGGTTTTGCAGAAACCGGCCTGGGATCATCATCTCACCGGCCACTGGATTGAAGAAGATGTGAAAGCAATGCAATCGGCCCCTGCACAAACACGATTCCATCTTATGCCCCGGCTTGGTCACTTGCAATGGCCCCTGCGCAGCATGAATGCATCTGCTTGCACCTACGCAACACCATTGAATCTGTTCTTCAAGGCCCCGGCGTCAACATCGGCAGCTGGGCACTGAAGAAGCGCACCAGGACCCGCTGGACATTGGGAAGACTGCACACCATTTTCCAGGTCACTTTTCCTTTGGCTGTCAAGACACGGCATCCGAGCGTCAACTTCTTGGTTTCAGACTTGCATTGCTCGTGAAGCGACTGGAGCACGTTCGCAACCTAGATGATGGATTTGACAGCTTTCAAAGAAATCAACGAAGCTGGCCTCAGCCGTCAAAGCCGGCCTGTGCACTGGTGATTGCACCATCGTTGACGCATCAAAAAGTAGTGAAAGTCATCTCTGCATCATCATCCCTTCCACCCCGCCTCAATCTGCTGCCTGTTCACCTGACATTCCCGTCCCACCGGGCCACAAACCGATGATTTTCAATCGAATCACAGAAAATTGTTGCCATTCTAAACCAAAGCTGAGCATGAACAGAATCGAAAACAACGCTGTATCCGAAGATCTGCCTCCTGGCACGTCTCTTTTCAATGTATTTCCATGCCTTGAGCAACACCGGAAATGCACGGATTTCTATATTCAGATTTCAGCATGGTCCCCGAGATATTCCAAACCCTAAGCTTCTGACGTTAGTCGTTGGCAAAGGCATAAGATCATTCCAGAAGTCTGCAACCGGACCCTCCACCAGGTTGGCAAGTGGCAAAAGTTTGCCCAGTATCCGCTCAATCACTGGCAAGCTAACTGCGTTGCCCACAGCGGCCCCGAATACCGGAGCTCTCACAATCTCAAGCATGCTGCGGCACAAATCATCCGGCATGCCTGCAGCCGAAAAAATCATCTGTGGAATGAATTGTATTTCAAGCATCAACAGCCAGGCCTTGAAGACGAGCCATTTCCACCATGCTCATCCGCTGGCGGCGCCAGGGCAGGTAGTAAGCACTAGCAGCTGCTCTGGAGGAAGTGATTGTAGACATCAGCTGTGAGCTCACAAATTTATCCCTGCCACCCCCGACATCGATGACAACTCCAAAGTCACGGAGGCGGTCTGCCCCAAGAGCCTCGGAGGCCTCAATGATTTCAGTATGATCAAGAGATTAACCTGATGGTGAAAGCTGAGGAAGCGACCCAGCGCAAATTGGATCGAAAAGTCTCACATTCCTGTTTCTCGTCGACCACTGGCAAATCGGCAATTGGTCTTTCCTCCAAAAACATCTTCAAATTGACCGGCACGGCATGATCTTAGTGAACAGGTGATGGGTGCAGGATAGGAGCAAAACATCTTGAAGGCCGGTCACAGTCATGGGGTCCACTAATCACATCGTGGCTTCATCGTAATGATGCCAGCTTGGCATAATGTCAATTTGAAACCGTTCGCCTCGTGCTGCAAGGGCTTCGGCCACAGGTCGTCGAGGGTCACTGTCTGACTCAGTGAGTCCATTCGGACCCCGGCCAGGTACAGCCTGGCCCTCTTTTGCGCCAAGCCATGCTCACTTGTCAGCATGATTTTCTCCAAAACCACCTAGGTAGTTTAGGATATCAAAGGCCGCACTGAAATTTGATGTCATTCAAGTTCAACTGATGCACGGCTTTCTACTCAACAAAACTTCAACAAAACCCCGTTTGAGAGAGGCACATATCCAGCGGATCTGAAAATGTCCATAGTGGCCTCCAAATCTCTCCAATGCACACGCTGAAGACCGGGCACGTTCTCTAAGAGAAACGCCTCAAAGGATCTCAAAGGATGCTGCAAATCCTGCATCATGTTTTCTAGATTTTCTTGTCTTTGCTGCTGGCCCAATCTGAGTCTTCGACACGTGGCCGCTCGACCACAATTCTCTCCGCTTGCTTCCACCAAAGAATGCCATGTTTGCCGGAAGTTCCTGCCAGCGGAACCGACCCACAAAACGTTGGCATGCTCTTTCAGCTGGAAAACGGGCATGTGAAATTGGTTTCAGTCCTTTGTTGGCACCTGCGGTGGAAAAGTCCTTGCAAGGACTCGTGCCAATGTACAGGTCCGCCTCGACATGCGGTCGCGTGGCCATGTCTGCACTGAAATCCTCTGGCTGCAAAGGTTGGTTGATGTAGCGATGTGTGCATCGCAAGAGCTCAGCCACATCCACGTCGCATTCAGAACACATCACAGTTCTGAAGCACACGCCCAAGTAGTGAAGGGCTAAGGCCTGGCACATTTCTGTATTCAAAATTAATGCATCCCCAGATAGATTTGCTTCAATGCCATGATAATATTCAAACTAGGCAAGCTCACCGCTGTACCATATCCGCAAAAGTCAGATGAAACTGTGATCTTCTTCGGAGCATCACACCTGATTGAAGAGAAAGCTGTTGCCAGAAACGACTGTCCCAGCAATGGCATTGAGTGCCGAGCAACTTCGTTGAAATTTTCTTCTTGCTTTCTTCTGCCTCTAAAGGATATAGTATAAAGGCTGACTGTTCAGTATCTGCCTGCATAGTCTCTGTTGATCTGAGGTCATCGCTTTGAGTTTGAGATCCTTAATAATTTTGGCAACGAACCTGGCTCAACAGAAGCCGATATTTTCAACAATCAGCTATGTTCAATGTCCAAAACTGATCAAAGAAATAATTCTTCAAACTTTGCCGGCAATACTTCTTTGGGGCCATTGAAACTCATAAATTGCGGTCGCATGTCGGGGGGACTTCTCAACTTGAACAAACAAATGGCCACTGTAGCGGCTGAATGTTGATAACGTGAGACCAACATGTCTCTGGGAAAAAAAAGTTAAAAAGAGCACAACTGGACAACTGAGCAGATAGACAAACAGACACACACAAACAAATAGATATAGAGCCATACAAATAGGCAAGAAAATAGATATATAGATAGACATTCTCATACAATCACAAACATTTAAGATACATATGATAGAATATCATAGACATTTATATATAGATATTATATAATGACTATTACCCCCTGGTAAACTAACATAGCCATGGAAAATCACCATCTTCAGTAGGTAAATCAACGAACTAAATGGGCCATTTTCAATAGCTATGTAACAGATTACCAGAGGGCATATTCCATTCAATACCAATCATTATTCATTGTGAATGTCCCATTAATATCCCATATATATATATATATATATATCCCATTGTTAGTTTACCAGAGGATATACCATCTGGTTATTTAACATAGCCATGGAAAATCCCCATTTTTAATAGGTAAACCATCTATAAATGGGTCATTTTCCATGGCTATGTTAAATAACCAGAGGACTTTCCACCCCGCCTCGTAACGCTCGTAGCACATGCCCATGAGGCCGCCACCGCCCGCTGAAGCGCCGCCCGCTGAAGCGCCTCCTGCGGAGGCCCCCGCGCCGGCCACGGCGATGCTACGACCGTCGACCACGGAGTATCCCGGACCTGTGGCGATCAACGGGGCCTCCCTGGCAGCCACACCACAACCAAAATGGGATAAAACATGGGAATATATGTATAAGTGCATATATATATATATATGTATATGTATATATATATACACATACATATAGACATATAGACACATATACATATACATATACATATACATATCCATATACACATACATATACATATACATATGGAAATATGTGATTGTAATATTGATGCGGGAGAATCTACAATGTGTTTCTCGGTAAAATTGAGGTTTCAAAACATGTGGACCATGTGATTTGATAAATCTCAAGAAAATACACGGTAATAATTGTTCATTAAGGGCTTCTTCACCAGCAACAGCCAATACTGCCTGTGAATCTTGACCGTCTATCATTAAGCCTATAAGGGTTCGCTGAATACCCGTCATTATGGCAATTTACAACAGCAAGGGCCCCCCAAAAAGAAAATGTTGATTCGTATCATTGCTCAAATCATCACTAAGCTTGGATACCAACAAAAACAACTGGGAATGATACCGTTGCGTAAAGTAACATAGATGTTTTTAAAAGTCCACCATTGGTAGATCATTGTCCTCCGGAAACCATTGGTTTTCCACGTGTTCATTTACCCCAGGCTATCCCCTCATGTCATTCAATGGCATAACCTAACCCCAACCGATATCACTTGAAAGCTTGAGATATCTATATCCGGAGAGTCTGTCTCTATAATTTTCAGTATACATATGTATAATTTCTAGTCTACATATGTATGTATATATATACCGTATATATATACACACTATACATATGTGTAAATTCTAATATATATATATATATGTGCGTATATGTATATATATATACATACTGTGTATATATATATATATTCACATACATACACATGTAAATACACACACACATTATCTTATATATATATATAATCAGGATGTAATCAATGTAATATTGTTTTTTTCCCGAAATCCCATGTACCAATGGAGAATCCGATGTCAACTTTTGGTATATCATCATTTTCCTGATTGAAATGGCGATTTTGGGGTATTGCCCATTGTCAACATCCAATCTTGGGACATGCAATGCGCACAACGTGAGCTGTCATTTTGTGTTTACGTAGAAAGAACATCGAAGAACCACAAGGTATACCAATGATAGATTCGGATAGATGAATAGATATATATGTTTGCATATATTTATCTATATATATACATATACACAATTGCAATCACCAAACAGCTTTCTCACCGCCCGCGAGATAGTCCCAGGGCGCCTCCAACCACGACCATTGCGTCTCAAACGAAAGCACAAGGGTCGGTGAAAGTTCGTTTACACGTTTCTGTGATGCAACAAGCCGAAAGCTGCATCGAATTCATAGTTTCCCTAAGATGAAGCATCATTCATGGGCCTTGGTCGTGTTCGGTTGCTACCTTTGATGTCCAGAAACCCAAAGTACTCCCTTTTCTATGCTCGACTTGACCAGTCGATGACCTCTTCTGAACAAGAACACGTGCACTCCTGGTTAATTGCTTCTTCACCTTATGCATTTCAACCACTGCGCCACCGTTTCCGTTTTGGCTGCTTGGAATTTTAGAAATCCCATATATTCGGGGAATCCTCGAAGCGATCCACCTGAATGAATGACCGCCTGGCCACGTGAATATCCCAGTATATTTCCACATGTTTTCAATTTCCACCACATCAAGTCTATATAAGTTTGTTATATAACAAGCAGTGTGTATGTATATATATATATATATGTATATATATATGTATAATGTATATATATATATATTGTGAAACCAGCTCATTTCTGCCTGCATACAACTCCATCCAGTTTTGCCAAGGGATAACCATGAACCTCTCCAGTATCACAGGGCATACCGAAGGCACATGGCTCAGGGAGCCCTAGGATGAGTGGAGGGCGGGAGCCTTGAAGCCATTGGAAGTGGCAACCTTGGCTGAGGACAGCCATTTTGGTGTGACAGAGGCCTGTCACTTGGAAGCTTGCATCGTGTGGCGATAAAAGCAGCGAGGTCGCTGATCCATTGGTGGTGGGAAGATTTGAGGCTTTCAGCCTCTTTGTTGGATTTTGAGGCCGCTAACCAGTTCACATTGGTAGCGGAGCCCCCAGTATTGACTGGGGGCATCCGGGAACCTTTGGGAGAACGTTTTGACCATCTCCGTGCTGCTCTGGAAATTCATCCGTTTGGACAGGAACTGACATGTCTGGCAGTGAAACGGTAGATACAACAGCTAGCATTCCCAGTCAGCTCGCGATCCTTGTTCCCAGTTTTGATCCATCGAAAGATGATTTGCAGGTCTATCAACAGAAAGTTCAATTAGTGCTCGCAGTGTGGCCAACTGGAAAGATTTCAGAATTAATTACGAGATTGATACTGAATACAACAGGGTCGGCCTTTGCAAAGCTGCAATTACACCATGAGGAGTTGTGCATCAACGATCAGAAGAGTGTACGCAGGCTCATCGAGCTACTTGGAGGACATTGGGGGCAGATTGGACTTGAAAAGAAGTATGCAGACGCTGAACGAGCGTTGTTCCAGTGCACGCAGAAATCTGATGAGAGCCATGATTCCTTTTTGGCCAGAGCAGACATCATGTGGACAAAGCTCAAGACGCAGAAGCTGAAAATAGAAGACTTGCAAGCCTACATCACTCTGAGGGGATCTCTCTTATCAAGTGATGACAAGAAACGTGTGATTTTGGAAAGTGACTCATCTCTGGAGGGACAGTTGACAATCACCAGGGTTCAGGAGGCAATACGCCTTCTTGGAACGTCGTTCTTTCAGGACATGACTGGCCTGAGCAAAAGTTCAGGAAAGACCAAGGTGTATGACCAGGTACATGCAACTCTGGACGAAACTGAATCTCAGGTGGAACCAGAAGAACCGTCTCTTGCATATCAACATGATGATGTCCTTGAAGAAGAGGTCATGGAAGCATTGCTTGCAGAAGGTGACGAAGATGCCAGTTTTGTGGCGGATTTCGAAAGTGCTGCAACCGATCTGCTGCAGAGTGACACCGACCTGTCATCTGCCTTTTCTGCCTACACTGAGGCCCGTAGAAAGCTGAGTGAAAAAGTCAGATTCAGGGGATTCTGGCCTTTGCAAAAGGGCCGAGGAAAAGGCAACAAAGGTAAAGGCAAGACCAAGAACCCTTGGACTGGTCGCAAAAGTCTCCAGCAAAGGATCCTTGACAGCAACTGCCGTCTTTGTGGACGTAAAGGACACTGGAAGGGAGAATGTCCGATGCGAAACCAATCAGCCGCCGCTGCCGCATCATCAGCTCCAGTGACGTTGTCGGTAGGCGCACAGTCTTCGACAGATGACATCATGCCCATGGAGTTCATGAGCCTTCCAGAAGTTGACAAAGCCTCTCACCAGGACGTTGTGTGTGCCGAAGCATTTTGCAATGTACAGTCAGTTTTTTCAATTCATGGTGCCAGACAGCATGTCGATGAATATGATTCTGATAACATAAGGGCAGCCCGGGGTAGGATAAGAAACTATGTAAAGGGTAACATAGGAAATAAACCTAAAGTGGCCTCCCTTGTGAGCAGGATTGAAGCTCGACTTCGCGCATCCGCTGCTGAATCAAGTGCCATTGCAGGTGATCCCACCAATTTGGTCACCAAAAGCGTTTTCACCAGATGGAACTCAACAGAAGTTCCAGCCAAGATACCCATTGTACAGGCATCCGCCATACAGTTTTCCGAGAGAGACAGTGCCGAAGCCATGTTCTCAACCCACGACACGTGGGGAATCGTCGATACGGGAGCCACTAAGACTGTAATAGGTAGTGAACATGTTGTCAGCCTTTTGCAGGGATTGTCACCCGCCATTCGAAACCAAGTCAAAAGATGCCGCTGCGATGTCATGTTTCGTTTTGGTAACCAGGGTCTTCTCAAGTCAGAACATGCTCTTGTGGTTCCCATAGGTAGCCTCGGCCTGAAAATCGCAGTGGTTCCTGGAACAACACCGTTCCTGCTGTCAAATACCTTGATGAGAGCACTGGGCGCGACGATTGACACCTCGACCAATTGTCTCATGTTGCCAAATCAGGGTACTCAAGTTCAAATGCAACTGTCTCCAAAGGGTTTATACCTTCTCGACATCAATCAGTTGATCAAGGCGGGGTGTCAGGTAAAGAGTGCTTCCAAGGTCGCTGAAACATATGCACATGACAGCCTGCCTGAACCTGCCAAAACTCAATTGCCAGCGGACGAGAGGGAGAGAGTTAGCGGTCAAATGGAAGGTAATCAGGTCTCAAAAGGTCAATTTACCAACTCACCACGCTCAGTTTCATTTCAGGACATTTGTCACCGTCATAACACACATCACACGACTCTCAACATGGCAAATTCAATTCATGAGAATTCCACAAATCAACCCTCAAAGCCTGTACAGAGTCATCATGAGCCAACCACAGATGCACCGGAAGATCATCAGCCTCAGAAAGTTCCGATCGTACCGTCCAAGAAACCGTGCAGTTCCAACCATGAGCGACTGGACCGCGCGATTGCAGAAAGTGCAGACCTCCAGCCCTGCGGAGGAAATGGAAAGCATCGACCACTTGACCCTGGAGATGCTCAAGATGGAAAAGATGTCTTTCGGCAAAGCGCATGTGGGACGCCCATTCATCGAGGTGTGGAACACAAGCCCAGAATGGACCAAATGGTTTCTCCAGCACTATCAGAACAGCACAAAATTGGCCCACCGAAAGATGATTCGTTTCATCAAGATGATGATCGAAGAGACGGAGTCTCAGGGGGATGTGGCTCAGCAAGTGCCCATCTCGCCAATGACGCATGCAGCCCCAAAGACAATGATTGGTCGCCCCAAAGCCAAGTCAATGCCGGCTCCATCTACCAACATGGAGATGCCAACCGAAACCATGGGCACACCTTGGACAGAGACCGAGGATCCTCACAACCTTCATGTACGCATGCTCAACCTGGAGAACGCCTTGCACCAGATCCTCGAGCATCTCACCCCGACTCCCAACGAGACCTTTCCGGTGATGCCGATCGAGGAGGAGTGGAACGATCCCTGGAACAACTGAAGGATCAGATGAATGAATGCCACTTTGCCTTAGCAGCAGGGGAAATGGATACTTTCAGTGAAACATGTCCTAACAAAGAACGCATCCATTTTTGGAAACTGGTTTCAAGGGTTGAGAAAGAATTGCATGCTCAGGTCAAACAAACAAGACCCCTGGGCAAACCAATTGACCTGCTGGAAGTGTTCTGCAGTGAGAAAAGCAATCTCACTAATCAAGTGAACCAAATGGGAGGAACAGCCGTTCGATTTGGCCTGCACCAAGGAGATCTCCACACAACTGAGGGTCGCGCAAAATTGTTTCAAGCAATCGGCCGCCACCAGCCCAGGAACATATGGATGAGTCCAATTTGTAAACCATGGTCAGGGTGGTCACAACTCAACAGTAACAGGTCTCTGGAGTGTTGGGATAAAATTCATGCCGAACGTCATGAGAAGCTCATCCAAGTCGCACTTTGCCTGGTACTGTGTAGATTTCAAATCCGTTTGCAGAGACATGCACACTGGGAGCAACCTCGTGGATCCATGATGATGACCCTAACGTATGTACAGGAGATTTTCCGATACATGTTGCATGCGCACCCAGACTTATGCACTGCAGGTGAACTCAAGGATCCAGTAAACCAGAAACTTATGAAGAAGGGATTGCATATCGCAACATCATCAACAGGTTTGCACAAAGAACTTGATCCGCTGAAGTGCAAAGGGAATCACGATCACCAAGTCATCGAGGGATCCACCGTTGCCCAAGGGCAAACCATTTCCCGAGCGACTTTTTCTGAGTTGTATCCTCGACGATTTGCACGTCGTGTGGCCAAGGTCTTGATAAAAAACAAATTTCCCTCAGAGAAACCATGTGGAAGTTTGATTGACCCTGCGCTGGTAATCATAGATGCCATTGCTGCTGCAGATGACCGTCCGGCCAAGCGTCAGCGATTGTCTAGTTCCAGGTCTTTGAAGACTCAAGCTGCAGACAGGTCACCCGAAGGTGCGTCATGTTCCAAGAAACCACGAAAGGGTGAGAAACAGATGGAGAAACTTGAGATCCCCAAGGAAGAAACCAGTTCTCAAGAGTTGAAAGATATCATGCAAATGATTGAACCAAAACTACCTAGGGTAGGAAAGAAACAGTTTGATGAACCTGATGTCCTTCAAGCCATACAACAGTTATTTCCAGAGAAGATCATCAAATGTGTCATAGCTTGTAAAGG